CTGTGTCGTACCGTTCGCTGTGGGAATGTTAAGCTTTATAAAGGCCGGGCCACACTGAAAGACCTTTAAGATCCTAGCAGATGGGGAAAATGTGATAGACCACACACATATGGACATGAAAGGAACATTTTTTGGCTTTTCTCTGGGGTTTCCCACACGAATATTGGAGCATGTTTTAAATGTGCGATTCAGTAGCAATACAGATAGATTCAAAGAAATGATGTGATCGAAAACAACTATAAACAAGCTTGACATGACTAACTTCAAACTACATCCAACCTCCTTTCTCTGAGTTTATGTTATGATTATTACAACTACATAAACTCTAAGAATTGGGCACCAATTTTTAGTGTTTACCTCATGTAATTCGTACCCTGCTTAAAGGCTGTAATGTGGAGTCGTACTTAAGTCACACTTTGTTGTTAATGTGGCCTTAAAGCAGGGGTGTCAAACTCAATTTAATCGCAGGCCACATCAGCATTATGGCTGCACTCAAAGGGCCGGTTGTAACTTCAAGACTATTTAAAAATACATAACCATATAAATATATATAAAATAATATCTTCCAAATTTTTTTGGAGAAAAGGCACATTCTAAGAAAAAAGCCATATTTAGAAGAAAAAAAGTGAAATTCTAAGAAAAAAGTCTAATTTGAGATGCATTGTGGGACATGCAGTTTATGGGCAACGTGCTTCTGTAAATCATGTAACCGTATAATAAACATATAATATTCTTTGCAAGCTCTTGTGGGGCCACAGAAAATGAAGTCACGGGCCGGATTTGGCCCCCGGGCCTTGAGTTTGACACCCCTGCCTTAAAGTGTAAATAACAACACCTCCAAGGCGTGAAACAGGATCTGAGGGACGAATGCTTGTCCTAAAGTTACGTTTCACAAAAACGTCTGGATCTTAATGAGGTAGAGAAAAAACATTTACACTAGAGCCAAAATGTTGTATATTAAGTCACTACTTATACATTTTAACATCATATCCCATCATAGTGTCACTTGTAACATCTTGTGTAACATATCGCATCGTCAAACATCTAATTGAGTTTTGTAACCCATAGTTAAATATTGAGTCTTCCAGTAACACATGTATCTCTCTATCATTGCATCGTAGCGCATTCATATTGTATGAGACATCACAAGCTTTGTTTAAATTAGATACCTTTTCCATGGCAGCGTTTGCAGCAGCGAAGATCTCGGTAACCACAGCAACCTCAGCTGATGTTGGTTCAGGTTATTCAGTTTAAATTGCTTTCTGTCTTCCTCGCTCTGTTTGTGTTAAATGTGTCTGGCTTTTGCGAGGCTACATATTTCAGCTCAATGGCTGTACGTGCCTGTCACTGTTTGTACTTTCCACAGGTGTCCCTGAAGGCTTAACGCCTCCACACACACACACACACACACACACACACACACACACACACACACCACACACCCCCCTTGCTTCTGCTCAGCTATGTTAGCTATGCAGTAAATCAGCACGCTGCAGACCTGTTGCCATACCTCCAGACAGTTGGCCGCAGCTGGCTTAACTCAGAACCGTTATATATAATTTTTCCACGTCTTTTAAGTGAAGCTGCAAAAAATATATAGACTTTTGTCAATAGATGCAGTTATTATTCATGCAGAAAGTCAGCTTCTTTACCATTGAGATATGTTGTTTTTGAATATCTTTGGGGTCTGAATTGACAAAGTAAAGCATTTTTACACATCAACTTGGATTTTAAGTAACTGTCATGGACGTTTTTCACTGCTTTCAGACATTTATAGGTCCTAATTAGGTAAATAATCTGCATTGTATTCGATAATGTAACAGTAGTTAGTCCTAGTCTTTCCTGTAAACCATTTTCTGAGATGGGCTTCTACAGAAAAGGGGGATTTCTAAGACATCATGAAATATTTAAGTACTGTATTCCAGACCAGGCTACTTTCAGGAAATATCAGATTCCTTGGTATGTCAGTGGAAGTCGTGGAACATCTGGGAATGGGAATATTGAGTCACATTACATGAATAGAGCAGAGCTTATTTCCCACCTCGTTTGATGTGTACGCACTGCATTAAGTGGGGCTTTTCAAAGCCAGCTGTTGTGGAAACCAGCCTGGAAAAGCACGTTAACAAAACCAGGAAGGAAGAATATTTTTACATTTATTGGAAGAGTCTCTGCATGGTCATGGAAGGTTATTTGGTTTTCCATCAGTGGGTATTGTCTCACAATGTTGTGTATCCTCTCATGTCATTGTGCTTTTATTTGCTGTGAGCAATGGGGAACACATTTGAGAGATGGCGTGTGTGTTTAAAGACCGCAAGGGAGGTCAGGGTGTGTTTCTTCCTTCCAGATTTAGAGATCCTTCGGGAGGGAACAATGACAAGAGCTAATTAGATGACGGTCACCAGGTCTTTGTGTGTGTGTGTGTGTGTGTGTGTGTGTGTGTGAGCTCTGAGGTTTCCTCTTATCTTTTGCAGGAAGATAGATGACCTCAAAGCCCAATTTAGTCCCAGACTCGCGCCTCATGCAGTTACGACTCTCCTATAAACGCCAGACAAGAAAGCAAATGTCTCCTATTAAAAGTCTCCTGAAAAGCATTAACACACTCCTCGCTTCACGCTGCATGCACACTTCAAACCTCTGTGAAGGTTTCCTGTTTGTGTCGTTTGCAGGGATGCACTCTGAGGATTTGCTGCTACTTTAATCTCCAGGTAAAATTCACAGGAATCTATGGAGATGCTTTGAAACCGGGACCACACACACTCCGAGTCTCAGACCCCGATGTGTGTGCGTTTCCCCTCATTGGGTTGGTAAAACAATCAATTCTTTGTGAAATGTCAACGGACTGCACGGCTTCAGACGCGGGCTCCTATTTTCCCAGTGATTGGTTCCAGGCAGTGGAAAAAACCCTTCAAACAATGCAATGTGTTGCTGATTGATTGTAAGACAGCCATGAAAAATGGGGTATAAATTATAGCGGGGGATGCCACATTCCTGCTCGCCTTGTTCTTCCTGTGCCGTGTCGATGACAGCAGCTCCGACTCAGGCCTTTTTAGGTGTTGTCACCTAACGCACCGCTTTATAGATCGTCAGGGAGCCAGTGGGAAAGCAGAAGGCCGTAAATAACCAGCCTGGTCCCATCTGAGGCATCCAGATAATGTGTAAATCCATTTTGAAAGACATTAAGAAGGAAATGAGCTACGTCCTGTACCAACATTTAGGAAAGTGATAGTGTGGAATTTAGGCTTTGAGCCAATTGAGACAATGACCTCCTTAAAACATAAAATGTCCCATCATTACAACTCCCCTGCTCTGAATTCCCCCCCCCGTAAAATCAAGAGCAGCCTGCGAGCAAGTTAGCTAAAATACAAAATGAAACTGTAAGCTTGCACACAGAATTGTGTTTTAGTCAAATATGGTTTGTTAGAAAGATACGCCACTCTGTGAAGCTTGGATATTGAAGATCGTAGGAAGGATGGCATCTTGTTGCGCTCCAAGTCTTCATTAAGGTGGCACAACCCTAGGGAACTACAGAAGAGTATAAGGGCGGAAAAACTGTTATTTTGTATTGTGAGAACAAGTAGAGATGCCGAGATTAAAGTCAACTCGCTAATGCTAGTAATTTGACAAGATATTCTCACAAAGAAATCTCCCATTTCTCCTCCTTATGCCTGGCTCTAACACTCCTGTGTATGAAACAAAGGAATCATGTCTAATAATACTTCCTATACCTTTAAAATACCTCTTTGTTGCCCTCACTGGGTGTGCAGTTTTCACAACATTGTTTATTCGTCCCTGTTGGATTGTGGCCTTGTGAACAGACCGGTTTCTCCTCCTCCTCCTCCTCTTCCTCCTCCTCTTCCTCCCAGAAAACCTTGGCTCTGTCGCTGGGAACGTACGATTGTGAACTCAGATATGGTTCAGATTTCTGTTTGCTGCAACATTTATTGTGCACACATCAGCCGGTGTCACGCTTTGTTGTGCGAGGGCCTGGAAGGAAGGAAGCAAAAAAGATAGAATAAACGGTGTCGTCCCGCACCCAGACTGTTTAGATTGGGAGCACCAGGGCCCTGATTTTACGTGTGTGTGTGTGTGTGTGTGTGGTGTGTGTGTGTGTGTGTGTGTGTGTGGGTTTGTGTGTGTGTGTGTGTGTGTGTGTGTGTGTGTGTGTGGTGTGTGTGTGTGTGTGTGGTGTGTGTGTGTGTGTGTGTGTGTGTGTGTGTGTGGTGTGTGTGTGTGTGTGTGGTGTGTGGTGTGTGTTGTGTGTGTGTGTGTGTGTGTGTGTGTGTGGTGTGTGTGTGTGTGTGCATTCCTGTCTTTTCTCCAGTGCAGTGTTTAGAAAAGGACCCTCCCAGCAGGACCTTCATTTACCAAAACAAAATTCTCCAGATTCTTGGCAGCTGCTCGTGTGTGTGGTCAGCTCTATGCTCGTCATGTGATCTTGACTCACCTTGACCATGACGCCACCCTCCCCCTCATCTCCCCTCCCTTCCTCCCAGGAGACGTTTGCCTACCCAGAGAGACATGGGCGTCCCTCCCCCTTACACACACATGGTTTCAATTTAAAGCATGGGAGTAATTTCCCCGCTCTGAAGTTCTCCAGAAAATGATTTCTTCAACAAGTGCTCTCGCCGTAGTCAGCACATTTTTCCGACTGATGCTGCAGTATTTGTTTTTTCTCGCCCGGTTGCTATGGATTATGGCTGAGCTGCAATCATGCCATAAGAGAATAACTGTCAGGAATGCTTCAGAGGCTAAAACCAGGATTTGCTTCGTGCGTTCAAGAAATACGTGTGGTTTTCTGTAGCTGCCCCTCGCTTCGATGCAGGTATTTCCCTTTTAGCGAAGAGCTGTAGGCCTCGTGAGGAAAAAGGTTCCCATACCATCAAAGTCCTGAATAGGAAACCTGTGCTAATGTCAAAGGTTCTGGTGATTGTTCCTGGTTGTCGGTATATCTACATGTCTGTGTTTCTAAGTCCTTGCCAAACATCTGCATGTGTTTTCAGGATCTCCATACTACGACAATGTGAGGCCTCTCTCCTACCCAGACTCTGACGCTGTCCTCATCTGTTTCGACATCAGCCGCCCTGAAACTCTCGATAGCGTCATGAAAAAGGTTTGTAGCTCTATCCTGACACAATCACTCAATGAAACCTTTGATAAGCTCAGCCTTTAAACTCCACACATTCCTCCTTTCATTTTGTTTGATCCGCTGACAAAAGTCTAGTCTACAGTCGAGAGATTTTCCTGTAGCCTCCGTCACGTCAGATCTTGTGATGTGAGGTTATAAAGCTGTGGTGTGACCAGGGGGTCGTTGGGTTAAATCCTGTCTGAGGCCAGATCCTCACATGATGACTGAGACGTATGTTTACTGCACATACTGTAAAGCAGGACATGCAGCATCAGTCTTATGACACATCAAAGGCTTTGATGGGTGTCAAACAAAGATTGCATGAACGTAAAACCATTTTTAAGGCAGTAAAACCCACCGGATTTAGGGCTGGAACTTAGGTTTGTTGAAATATGTCATTTAGTCTTTAAAATGTCAGAAGTCGGTGAAAAATCAGTCGGAACTAAAACCATAATCCTGTTAATGTCATTTTGTGGTGCTTTATTTTGACAGATATTGCAGTCAACTTGTTATTAAATACCCATTTTGGCTATTTTGGTATAAGAAGTTTCAAGGGGATATAAATGATTATATAAATAAGTGATCAATGCTCTACATGTCAGCGTTCAGTGCGTATCTAGATAACATAACATCTAAAGAATCAAGGAACCGAGCTGAGAAAAGCAGTAAATCTGCATTTATTGACATTTTCCATGAAAAAGTAAAATAGTTTGACAATTGTTCTTCTCTTATTTCGAAAGGAACTACATGGTTTTCTGTTGTTTTTAAAGTTCAACTTAACTGTGTTCAGATCACAGGTCATGTTTCAGACGGTGAGCGTTCAGATTAGAATTAGCCTTGGTCTCATTTCATCTTCACGCTTTTTCTCAAGTGGTGTTTGTGCAACCGTGCAAAACAACTTCCCCCTTGCATGTCTATGAACTTGATCCCCTGACCAGCCAGGCCTCAGGCACATTAGCCTCAGATTAAAGCCCCTGGAGACACGCCATCGATCACGGGGCATTTATTATTGTCAGGGAGGAAACATGGGGATTATTTGTAGTTCGCTTCCAGAGCCGAAAGCGTGAGGGGCTCCAGGAAGTGGCAGCTTTAACCTTTGTACTTAAAAGACGGATGATGGGGGGGGTTCAACTCATGTGATGTTGTGTCAGGTCAACATGCATCATTTACCCCTTAATTGCAGTTAAATAAACATAAGGTTTCCCTCGTTGGTCTGTTGAGGAAATGGAGCTAAAAATATAGATGTTCTGCTCATATTATACTGCTTTGGTGGTATGGTTTTCCTCTGAATGTTGCTTGACACAAGCTTTTGTCTCTCCACAGTGGAAAGGGGAGATCCAGGAGTTTTGTCCCAACACTAAGATGCTTTTAGTGGGATGCAAATCAGACCTACGCACAGATCTGAGCACGCTGGTGGAGCTTTCCAACCACAGACAGACCCCCGTCTCCTACGACCAGGTATGCAGATTAATTAAAATCACACATTTCAGACGTCAGACGTGCAATTAGTGAAAGCTGTTTCCTGGCTGCAATCATTCGTGAATAATTGCTCATTGTACGATAAGCCTCAACTGATCCCTAAGAGAGAAAAGCCTGTAGTCATTGTTGACCTGAACCAGAGATGGCAAAAGTACCTTTACTCAAGTAGAAGTACAGATACTCGTGTTTAAAAATACTCTGGTAAAAGTAGAAGTACTGACTAAACTTCTTTACTCAAGTGAAAGTAAAGAACTTTGAAATGTCCTTCAGTAAAAAGTACCCATAACTAGCAGCTGTTTTAAAGAGTACCTGACCTCCCTTTATATTAATAGAACAATAATGTCATTGTTAGCTAATGAATGTTTCCATGCTGAACAACGGCAACATGACAACGTTTCCATTGGTCCCTCTTCTTTAGAGAAGACCAGGAAATGATGGATACACGGATCGTGTTCAAATCAATAGGCACGCAATGACTCTAAAGAATAATGATCACGCATCAAACACACATTCAGACTAAAGGAACCAGCTGTTTGGGAAATGAGAGAAGTAGAAAGTACAGGTATTTGAGTTCAGCATGTAAGAAGTAGAAAGTACAGGTATTTGGGTTCAACATGTGAGAAGTAGAAAGTACAGGTATTTGTGTTCAACATGTGAGAAGTAGAAAGTACAGGTATTTGTGTTCAACATGTAAGAAGTAGAAAGTACAGGTATTTGAGTTCAGCATGTTAGAAGTAGAAAGTACAGGTATTTGGGTTCAACATGTAAGAAGAAGAAAGTACAGGTATTTGAGTTCAACATGTAAGAAGTAGAAAGTACAGGTATTTGAGTTCAACATGTAAGAAGTAGAAAGTACAGGTATTGGGTTCAACATGTAAGAAGTAGAAAGTACAGGTATTTGTGTTCAACATGTAAGAAGTAGAAAGTACAGGTATTTGAGTTCAACATGTAAGAAGTAGAAAGTACAGGTATTTGAGTTCAACATGTAAGAAGTAGAAAGTACAGGTATTTGAGTTCAACATGTAAGAAGTAGAAAGTACAGGTATTTGTGTTCAACATGTAAGAAGTAGAAAGTACAGGTATTTGTGTTCAACATGTAAGAAGTAGAAAGTACAGGTATTTGAGTTCAACATGTAAGAAGTAGAAAGTACAGGTATTTGAGTTCAACATGTAAGAAGTAGAAAGTACAGGTATTTGTGTTCAACATGTAAGAAGTAGAAAGTACAGGTATTTGTGTTCAACATGTAAGAAGTAGAAAGTACAGGTATTTGAGTTCAACATGTAAGAAGTAGAAAGTACAGGTATTTGTGTTCAACATGTAAGAAGTAGAAAGTACAGGTATTTTGTGTTCAACATGTAAGAAGTAGAAAGTACAGGTATTTGTGTTCAACATGTAAGAAGTAGAAAGTACAGGTATTTGAGTTCAACATGTAAGAAGTAGAAAGTACAGGTATTTGAGTTTAACATGTAAGAAGTAGAAAGTACAGGTATTTGGGTTCAACATGTAAGAAGTAGAAAGTACAGGTATTTGAGTTTAACATGTAAGAAGTAGAAAGTACAGGTATTTGAGTTCAACATTTAAGAAGTAAAAGTAAAAAGTCTTCAGAATAATAAGTAGTGGAGTAAAGTTCTGATACCAGAAAAATATACTTAAGTACAGTAACAAAGTATGTGTACTCCACTACTTCCCAAGCCGTTTATTTTTCCTCCCGTGACCATATGTGTCCTCTTCCTCCTCAGGGGAACAGCATGGCCAAGCAGATTTCGGCGCCCTACATCGAGTGCTCGGCGCAGCAGTCTGAGAACAGCGTTAGAGACATTTTCCACGTGGCCACCCTGGCTTGCATTAACAAAAACAACAAAAACGTCAAGCGCAGTAAGGCCCCTCGCGGCAACAAGAGGATCTCACACATGCCCGGCAGACCCGACCTGGCAGCGGTGGCTTCAGATCTCCGCAAGGACAAAGCCAAAAGTTGCTCGATCATGTGACTGGTCGGACCGAGGGGGATCAGACTGATGAGGACAGAGCTCAGTGCAAGCAGGAAGCGAAGGGCCGACGCTCTTCCCTGCATGCGAAAGACCCCTTATTTGTCTGGAAAAGGGGGTTTAATAAGCTTCACATCGTGTACATGTTACTGGAATACTCAAAGCGTAGTAGCGTCCCAAGCTCCACCAGAAGAGGAAGCTTTCTGTCAGCGAGATACCTGCGAGGGGAAGCGCCCTCCTCGGATAGCGGATGTGTTCGAGGTGTTTCCACACAAGCAGGAAATGAGCAGGACGGGTGATGTCATTAGGAAACGCTCACCATGTAGAGGAAGGGGTTTTTAAAACATCTTTTGAATGAGAGCCAAAAGAGTTTGCTTCCCAGGATAGGAGCTGCTGTTTGTGCCGGATCAAAGACTCGTTGCTCGGAGGGTTTAAACACCAACTCGTCACTGTAGTTTGGAAGTGATTCACCCCCCTCATTGTGCAGAGGACATGACAAGAGGAATGACCTCGTCCTGCACACTCTGACGCTGTTTGTCCCCCCCTGTCTCTGATATGTTGTCGGTATAATGTGAAGTCATTGGTGTGTAACTGCATCATTGTTTTATTTTAGCTCCATCCTGATTCTTGAGTCTGTCGCAGCCATTCTGTGCCCGTTTATTTCACTTCATTCCACGGATATACATGTAAAGACTCCCTGAAGACAGATTCTCCACACTGACGGCTTTAGTAACTCCTCTGTGTCATACTGGGCCGCAAAAAGCTAACTTTAGCAACGCCTCCAGGATTTAGCCAACAATGTGATAAATAAATGCAGTTAGAAAAACATAACTTGCATAACACGTTTTAAAAACCTTAATGGGCTAAAAAGCGTCAGTGGGATCAACAAACGTGAAGTGAAAAATGGGAGTAATTGTGTAAAATGCCAGTTTGAGCCATGACTCATTCTCCCAATGCACTTTAGGGAGGGAGTGGAAATGTAAGCAGCAATTCAAACTGGTTTGTTAGGAGCTGACAACACCAGAGCTCTCTGCTTTGCATTTCCGAAGTGTTCAGACTCTTATAAAGACTCGGTCACACCTGAAACAATTAATAGATAATAATGAATAGGACTAAACGACTAATTGAGAAAATAATCAGCGAATGGAAGAGTTGTCGTAAATATGGACAGCTTTACACGTTCATACATGTAATGACTTGTGATCGGAAAGCACCACATTTACCACCTTGATTCGTCTACGTTGGTATAAACTGATTTAAATGCAGGAAACTGAATAAAAGGAGGCCGAAATAACATCGTTAACTTGTTTTTTGCGAAGATGAGGAACGTATTGACATGGTTTGAAACATAAGGTCATATAAGTGTTTGGCTTTCATTTGAAAACTAACAAACTATTTTCTAAGCTATTAAGAATCAGTGTTGTGTACATTAGTGTTATTTCCTCTCAGCAGTGCAATTAAGAAGCTGTTTAAATATCAAAGGTCTTGATGCACTTTTAATGTAACCTCCCAATTATCTTGTCACATTTTTACAGCTCAGTGGCCGAATCTAATCGTGATTTCCTAATCTGTCGTCTTCTCCCCGTGTACATTATCATGTTTCCTTGAATGTTGATGTCACCTTCAAATGTCTTTGCCAATGTTGTTGCTGCAATATTTATTGAATTATATATTTTCCCTTTAGAATAAATGCAAATGGAATTAAAGGAGTGTGTTTTCTGTTCATTGAGAGAGAAACATGATCGACAGGTTTTCAAAGTCAATGGGTTTTGATGTTTATTTTTGTTAGAAACCTGAAATAACGTGCACAAAACAAGCGTGGGAGATTTTAGCGACATTGAATACGTTTGTAAATAACCCACTTATGAATTAAGCTTATATGTGGCCTAAAAAAAGTTATTTTATCATCATCGTGCCATTATTAGATACTAGAGATTGCATTTACGCTTCAATAATCATATAAGTGGTATATTTTTTATGAACATTACAATACTTCTAGACAAGGCCGGATTAACCATATGGGCAAGTGCCCAGGGGCCCTTGAGCAAAGAGGGCCCTCAGTGACAAGATGAAAAAAAAAAAAGATTATTTTAATTATAATCTTTTTTCGGGCACAACCTCACTCATCATACATTGTTTAAAATGACACTCACTCTTCGCCATAAATAACACAGCTTTTCTATAGGGTCAAATTAATATATTTTCTAAACCGTCTCTGTACTGTAGGTCTCACTCAAGCCCCCAGGAAGTGCGCCGGACTCTGATGAGAATATTCGTTGTGGCCAAACGGCAGTACTACACCTCCGTTAGGTTGCTGGGCCCGGAACCACTTTTTCCCATTGATTTACATTGGGAAAGAGTGGTCTGTAAATCGTTGGATAATTTTTTTTAAACTACCCAGTATGAACGTTTGTATAGCCCTTATAAACATTCGGTCCTCAAGTTGTAAAATGTGCTAATAACATTATTCTGAGAGTGATTTTCCTCCGCATTATGAACGCGCATCCAACCCACGGGACCGCGCTGCCCGGCACGTTCGTAACTAATAAAACTCCTTGTGTACTTGTACAGCCAGCCAGTCATATGTTGGCATTAAGTGGGGTGCTGCTCTGAGGTTTTGAGTGATATTACCTAGGTATTCCTGAGCCATACACTGTCTTGGGATCTTATCCATTGTGTCTTTGTCTTGTGATTTTTTACTAAAAGGGCAAAAGGCTAGACCTACTTTGGCTGAGTCCCTGCTTTTGACAAATGGGTGTGCGATTTGACATGCTAGATTGACTGAAAATTCTAAATATTGGTCATGTTAGTATGATTGGGTAGGCGTGGTGTTACTTGTTGGTACGTGGGTTGGGGGGGGGGGGGGGGGGGGCCATGAGCGCTCAGTGCCCAGGGGCCCCTGGAGGTACTAATCCGGCCTTGCTTCTAGGTATCAAAAACCTGTGCCATAAAGCTTAATGTCACCAGAAGTTATTACAAACACATTTTTGGTCCTACAAATCAAAAAAGTTACACAAGAGAAACACTAACTTCCTCATTTAAAACAGGAAATGTGTTGCGAAAATACTCATATTAGAACCAGGATTTCATCATCAATTCAACGGATATGTGTTTTGCTATAGCTTTTAATTTGACTAGCACAAAGGACACACCTGTGATGAGTTGATTGCACAGGTGCAGCAGATATAATGCTCGTTAGTCTCTGCTTTGTAAACCTCAGACATGACAGTGAGTTTTAGTCTTTGTTTGCTCTCTATCAAAAGCCTTATGTGGCCAGTACACACACACACACACACACACCCCTCTTAGAAACCATTAATACAGTCCATTTTCTAAGTTGACTTTACTTACCATCATCCAGACGGTTTAGGGTGATACTTGGAGATGAGTACTGAGCTTGTGACGGGTTGGAAAATGAGAATTATTCATAACAAAACAGTAAGTCCCCTTCTGAGCCCTCTTCTTTGAACATAGATCACTGAATTACTTTATTTAGTTGATAATGATGGAATAAAGTAGATTTTTCATAGCGTTTATTTGAAAGTAAATGCCTCTATGCACCCTAATGTCAATATTACATTTTCGAACAGTACCAATATTGTTTTGCATGTTGAATTGCACCTATACATTCATGCTATTTTAGCTAAAAGGTTTTTGGTAATTTAAACACACAACAGGGGGTCTCTCACTCAAAACAATAACAACTGATCAAGTTTGGTTGGGTCTTGAAGAGTTTTTCCTTCATATTATACCTTCAATCTCAACACACTCTCACTCCATAATCGTCCAGGAGCGACGTTTGGTCAGTGTCCGTGGCGTGCAGTTGTGACGCTCCGAGGCTCCTTCAGCGTCATAAAGGGACGCAAATAACTTTCAACTGATTGCAATGTATTCCCATCTGCGGCGGGATTTGACGCTCATGGAAGCACGGCATTCGTTTGTGTCGGCTGCCCTTAAAGGCAATGTGAGCGTCCATTCTCATTGGATAACGGAGAATTGTACACCCGGAAGTAAGTATTCCCCTTACTGTCGATTTATTTTACAGTGATATCTGCACTACTCATCGACTAAAAAACACCAGATTATCCTTGTTAATTACACAACATTGATTGGTTTAAATTGTGTGCAATGCTTTTGTATTTTTCCCCTTCGATTCGGAGAAACAAATATGTTTTCGGAGTAAAGGATGGCCTAGGTATAAAAGTCACGGCTCGCCACTGTTATGGAGTGAGAGTGTGTTGTCAATCTCTACAGTTTAATCGGCTGTGTGAAGAATTTGGTGATTTCATGTAATGTAACGGTCACAACTCTTGCCTATATCTTGCACTTAAATTCAAGATAACTTAATCTGAGTTTAAGAGTGGACATAACAAATCAATTTAGCTTCAGCTACGAATGGGGGCCATGTCACTCCTCAAACTACAAAAAAACCCAGTAGGCTATGCTATATTAAATGGAATAAGTATTTACACAGCAGAGTTAACATTCAGCTCTACACTATTACAACAATGTTTCTCTTCAGAAAAACACGTCGGACTCGAGTCCTTGACTGCGCTGACATCTCTGTGAAAAGCAGGTTTTGTAGCGGCTGAAAGGAACAAAAAGCTCTCTGTGCGTCTCGTCTGCTTGAAAAGCTACAGTATGACTTCAGGCAGACAATGTTGTTCGGGCCGTGCTAAATTCCCCGGGGCTGCCGAGCATGCAAACTGCTTTTCCTCACACAGCCAGCCTATATATCACGCAATGACTTCATCACATACATGCGGTCTGAGATGTATTGGGTTGTCAGGGGCAGGGAAACAGGGGCTGTCAGGTGGAAAATAAATGTCAGAGATGAAAGACGCACAAATGGGCTCCTTACGGCTGCATGGGGGACGTTTTTTTCCTATATCATGCATTTAAATTAGATTTAAGTCTCATTTGTAAAGCCCTAAGACTAGTTTCTCATAAGTGGTCTCACAAATTAAAAGATAGTTTGCGGAATCAAACCATTAAATTATATCCATGTTTATGAATAATGCAGCTACAATATCCGTGTAATCAAATATTTCGTAGACTTCACGTCTATAATAAGTATATTCTAATTCTTTCACACACACATACAGGTTTTGGGCCGAGGGCGACACCGTACTTCCGGTATCCACCATTTCACACGAGGTGCAAGCAGAATATCATAGTCTATTGCCTTAATCAATATAGTCAACTCTAAAATACCACATATATGCATTGGCATGATAATATTATTGTGACAAGTGGGGTATTCACCTGGTGTTTGCAGAAGATAGACGTAGATGCTGCCAAAATCGACGAAGGCCACTGTCGTTTTTCCATACATCTGCAGGCAGTCTGTAACAACCCACACAGCTCTAGTTTACGCTGGTAACGACCTAGAGCACACCCCTCAAGTCCAGAGATGTAATCCGAAGACATGCAGCGATTTCTTCGGTCGTTAATTCAGAAAAAAAAACTAGTGCGCTCTGCCTGGCTACGTTAGCTAGCTGTTTATATTTGCACCTCCAGGATATTAGCACCTCCAGGAAAATGGCGTATTTCTATATAGATATATGGCGCGCGTTGCATTGTGGGTAGCTCGTGACGTCACTGTGTGTGAAAGAATGACTAGCCAGATAGCATAGCTTAGCACAGAGATTAAAAACATAGGAAACAAAGTCACAATGCCTCATAAAACCACCTTTTAAACCTTAAGTACTATCTTCTTTCTGCATTCATAATGTTACAGTAGCATCAAAGTATTTCCTGAAAAAAGGAAGTACATTTTCAGCTGTAATCAGGTTCAGCAAGTTCTGCTTTCTCGAGCTGGCTTTGCTTCTTCTTCACCAGAGACACAAGGGAGTAGTGCAAGATCAAATAACACTCTCACTCTCAACACCCAGCCTCGTAAAAATGAAACGTCTGACATGTTGAGCGTTTGAGCGAAGGACATATTTTCTCAACTGGAAAAACCTGTTTTCTTGCCATTTGCCGCTTCCTTTGTTGCTCTTTTTTGTCTCCATACCCTCTCTGTTAACACGCACACACATTTAAATGGTGATGTCCAGGCATGTTCTCCGAAGGCTTGTTGAAATGCATCTGGGAAATGTAAGACATAATAACTCTGAAAGGGTGGAGAAGAAGGGAAAGCACCGTACTGAATTACAACACTCAGCAAATAACACTGAGAGCATTAACTCTCAACGATAGCAGTCACTGACCCTCACAAAGAACACGTCTCTTTAGCAATGCAGCGAGGGTCCAGACTGTAATGGTATTTGGCCTGACCTACATACTGTAATAAGTCAGGAATCTGGTCTGAGCTGGCAGAAAACTAGTCTGAAGTCTGCAGCCCGCCCTGCGTCCCACAACGCCTCATTTCACTAAGCCATGTCGTACAAGTACGGGAGGTAAAGATCCATTGAGTGCAGATGTGCTGCGAGTGATTTCCGCCGTTTCCCCAAGGTTGGGTTCTTATGATTTCCAGATGAACTGCTAGCGTTGACGCTCTGTAGGAATGGAAACTTTTGGTAATTCAGAGTTAAATATCTCAACTATCTTAGCATGTATTATATTGAAATTTCAAACAGGCATTCATGGTCCCCAGAGGATGAATCATGGTGACTTTGAGGATTCTTGTACTTTTCTTCTAGCGCCACCATCAGGGCAAAGTGTTCACCTATCCTGTGATATATTTAAACTTCTACATGATGTA